TGCTACAAGTACAAGTTATCTGCGAATCTGAGTGGCTTAAATAGTCCCATCAATTTTAATTCCCTTTGTCTCCTATCAAGGTTTTGAAAGACTTCCTCTTTTACTCATTTCTGTAGATGGAAGGGGTTGGAATCTTTGTGGAGCCTTATGAGGGATGTTCCATTTTGATATATATAAATTAGTATGTTAACATGCACAGGCTCTACACCTTGGTTCATAATAGATTCAAGTACTTTGTGTATATCCACAGAATCGAAGGTTTTCTAGTAATCGACATATGACATAGCCAAAGGATCTTATATTCATTCACTTTTTTTATTAGATTGATTGACTGAGAGAAGGTGATCTATAGTTGAATATCCCTTTCTAATCCTGCTTGTTTTGGTTGTTTTCTTTTATCTTGTATTGCCTGTAAATGAAATGCAACTAAAACTATGGTCTATAGTTTCAAATCTTACGATTGCCTTTTTTGTAGAGCAATATAATAGACAGCATTCATGAGTGTTTTTTTAAAATGTTGAAAAGTTTTACCAATTTCTCAAAGACTAGGATGTCAGCGTCTTTGAGAAGGTCCATAATGATGTTGTCTGGACCTGAGGCCTTGCCTTTCTTCGACTGATTAATGGCATGTTCTACCTCATGTTGTGTAGTTGGATTGAATGAGAATATTTGTGTAGTTTCTTCCTCAATCTGTTGTTGTGGTTCGTCAGAGGAGTACAACCGCTGGTAAAATTCTCTTGCACGTTCTACAGTGTTATTTCTGTCTACAATGACCTTTCCGTTTTCCTCCATAATGCTAGTCATATGTGAACGTTCTAAGTATAGTTTCTTTGGCCATTTTAAAGCCTCTTCTTTCCTATTATCGTTTGGATGGTTTTGGTGGTGTAATACCTCAAATCCTTTCTTTGTCTTTTCTTTCTTGTTTTATTAAGTTCAGCCATAATGATTTTTTCTCTGGCTGTCGCTGTCGCGTTTCTTCTGAGAATTTGCTCTCTCTCTTTGCTGTTTCCATCAAAGGTTCTGTGATATAATTACTGATGCTGTTTATATTTTCTTCTTCCATCTCGCTCAGAATATCATATCGGTTTTTTTTATTCAATTTGAAAGAATTTAACTGATATTTAGTTTAGTTGGAAAATCATTTGTTTCTTTCTTTTTGCAAGCATATTCTGAGTTGTTTCTCACCATTCGAGGTCACTTCCTACTCTAACTCTACGAGGATTTGCACATCTGGGCATATTTTGTCAGCAAGAATGAAATATATTCATTTAGAGTTTCAAGTTTGGAACCTCCATTTCTTGATGGAGGTTTTTTTTCTAAAAGTATTCATGATGTTATGTTAAAATCGCGTGCCAAAGCAAAGTTGACGAGCATGTCTCCTTGTCGAGTCGAGGACCTCCTTGTAATATATATAATATGTGTGTGTGTTTGTGTGTTTTAATGTATTTAACATATACAATATATAGTATTCATATATATATATATACATATATATATATATATATATATTTATATATATATATATATATATAATATATATAATGTGTGTGATGTGTTGTGTGTGTGTTGTGTGTGTGTGTGTGTGTGTGGTGTGTGTGTGTGATACATATAATGATACACAATATATATAATATATATATATATATATATATATATATATATATATATATAATATATATATATATATATATATATATATATATAATATATATATATATATATATATATATATAATATATATATATTATGTATAATAATATATATATATATATATATATATATATATATATATCTGTATATATATGTATACACACACACACACCACACACACACACACACACCACAACACACACACACACACACACACACACTCACACACACACACACACTCACACACACACATATTATATATATAATATAACTAATATATATATATATATATATAATATATATATATAATATCATATATATTATACAAATTTATATATGTTATATCATTTTAATATCACGTGCCTTGTACTGTGCATGTGAATATGTATACACATGTATATTTCCTCGATGAATAATTGCAAAACAAAAAAAAAAAATAGAGACTAGACAAAGTACTTTCATTAGCGGGGGACGAGACTTATCCGAGTTTAGTGTCTGTTGCCAATAAAATGTCAATTAATTTTATTTTTGAAAATGTTGATGGCATACTGCCATTCTCTGATTATATATG